GTTTGATATTTGCAAGTGTTAGCCACTATATATAAAAATAGATTAAAAACAGATTTCTGTATAGCCACAGGGAACTCTATTCAATATCTTACAATAACCTTTAGTGAAAAAGAATATGAAAATGAATATATGTATGTATTTGTATGACTGAAACATCATGCTGTACACCAGAAATTGACACATTATAAACTGACTATAAAAAGAAATTTCAAAAAGAAAAAAGAGTGTTTTCAATGTCGGTGGGAATTGTCTGGGACAACCCTCTTTCTCATGCCAACCATATTACATATTCGCCAAACTCTGAGAGCCTCACTCCAGGTTATTTACTGCACTGGCCCCATTTGAGTCAAGAAATGGGATGTGGGTGGGAGAAGAGGAGAAATTGATTGAACATTTTCAATTAAAACAAGCTGTCTTTGAACAAAGATTTAGGATCCAGGCAAGGAGAAAGCAATAACTCTCTTGGCTGGAACCTTTTCCAATATATTGCAGAATTAAGGGAGAAAAAAAAATTGGGGTGAAAACTCCCAACTCTTCACCGCCAACAGAAACCTCAGAATGACCTATAAGTTGAACATGTCATCTTCCTCAGATGCTTTTGTGGCTCCCTGATGGGTTCCTCACAGAGGGCAGGAACGGAAAGCAGGTGGGATCAGGACCCTCAAATCAGAGCAGCAGTATGGTTTGGCCAGGGTTGTCTGAAACTCAGGCTGACTCTGTGACTTCAGCCCAGAGCTGTTTTATGGTAAAGGGTGGGTGTCAGTAGCTCCAGTACTTGGTGGGACCCTTCAGCAGGTAATGAGGGTTGGGACATTCTCATTCTTTCATTCATTCCCATGTATGTACTGCTACGAAGAGGGGCAGAGTTTGGGGTTAGAACAAGAAGAATAAGACAAACACAGTATACAGTCTAGAAGAGGAAACTCACATGTCCCAACTAACTCCTTTACCAAGCAGGTGGCTGTATTGTCATCTTCACAAAGACAATTATTTTTTTTGCTTAGCATACCCTTTGCACTGTGTAGTGTAGTTAGTATCGCTAATCCTACCATAACCCTGCGTGGTTAAAGCAGGAATCTACACATACTCCACAGGAGACTGAGAAATTTGCATAACTGACCTGGAGTCTTCTGGCTTAAAAGTGATGGAGGTGGCATGTGAACATGAGTGTCTTTTAACACCATGCATGTTTTCTCCCCTCTTGAGTATGATCTTCAAACACAAAATTCTGTGGACATGTGGGAGATTTAATTCCAAGTGGAAGAATAGTGAAAGGCTTCATGGAAGTGGGTGTATAGCAGAGATTTGAAGGACAAAGACAGATCTGAAAGGGGGAGAAAGAGAGATGAGCACTGGTAGATGTGGGGAGTGTGGCTGGGCCACATGACTGCAGGCCAGAAGCAAGACAGAGAAGGGCCAGGGCCCAGGGAGCTAAAATGTAGTGTGGAAGGTGGGGCTGCAGTGGTAGAAAGACAACAGATTAGCAAAGGCTTTGAATGCCAAGTTCAGGAGTTTAAACTTCTATTCTGTTGGCAGTAAAAGCCGGTGAGTATCTATAGTCATACCTATCTGTTTACTCAATGTGTATTTACTGATCATCTGGTATGGTCAAGTTATCTGGAAGGACAGGGACACACACACACACACACACAACAAAGGTGGGTCTTAAATCCAGAACACACACACACACACACACACACACACACACAACAAAGGTGGTTCTTAAATGCAGAAGCAGAAACAGTAACAAATAAAAAATCTAAATAAACACATAATTGCAATTTTAATACTGCTAAGAAGGAAATGCAGAGTCTGTAAAAAGGGCAGTGGGGGTGCCACTTTAGATGGGGGTGTGGGCAGGCCTTTGTGAGGAGAGGACGCGTGAAGAGTGGGCAGTGGGTACAGAAGCATCTATGAAGAAGGAAGGGCAGGTGGGAAGGGTCCTGGGTGGGAGAGGGGCTGGAGGAGGGCTGGTGCAGAGAAACAGGTGAGGGCTAGATCACGTGGCAGCTTATGCTGGGTCACCTTAAAGAGTCTGGATTTTCTAAGGGAATGGGAAGCTACTGAAGAATTTTAAGCAGGAAAATGAGATGGTATGATTTATCATTTTAAAAGGTCACTGCTATGCTAAAAAGAAGAAAGTACGAGTGGAAGCAAGCAGATCAGCTAGGGGACTACAGTCATGGCCCGGGGGAGAGGGGCCCGGGACCAGGATGGAGGCAGTAGAGGTGGGAAGATACGTTCTGAGGGGAGGAACTGGCAGGGCCCGCTGACAGGCTGGACGTGGGGCCTGGAAGGGAGAGGGGAATGAAGGGTGACTCCCGAGTACTCAGCCTTAGTAGCTGGGTTGGGTGGCGGGAGTGTTCCATGACCTGGAACGTGGAAGACTGAGGGAGGAACAGGCTGAGGGGAGAGACTAGGAGTTCAGCTCGAAGTTGTGATGCTGTGTGAGATGCTGGGCCCCCCAGTCCTGAATCAGAAATAGGAAAAGATCGAACAATGGAAATGGTTTCCGAGTCATCACTCTTTAGGGTCATTCATGCCACAAATTCTCGCTGACTGCCTGGTACCTTCCCTTCTTATTGTCCGCCCTCCTGCCCCTGGCTCTCAGTGCCCAAGGTCCCCAGGAGAATGGCAGTGACTGCAGGACCCTCTGTCCCCCTGTCTCAGAGCCTCAGATCTGTGCATTGAATGAGCCCATAAATGGGAATCAAGCGACCAACCTGGTTTCAGTCAGTAACATGCCACGTGACCCTGGCCATTTCCTTTCTCTGGGCTTCTCTGTGCGTAAATGTCTCTCAAGTTCTTTCCAGTATTCACGTGGTATGTTCAAGCAAAGGTCTCAACACCATAAGCTTATGAAAAATCTCATCCCTGTTCTTTCATTCATCAAATACTTATCGAGAACCTACTATGGGCCGTTATTTTAGGCACTTGGCACTGTGAACAAAACTGACAAAGATCCCTGTCTTCATGGAGCTTACATTTTAGCTACTGAGGACAAGCTGCAAATCTAGTACATTCATAAATTGAGATGCCAGAAAGTGACGAGGGCTGTGAAGATGAACCGGGTGAGGGGTGCAGGGGGCGGGCAGCAGATGGTAGCAGTAAGCAGAGTGGTCAGAGGAGGCCTCAAGGAAAGGGCGGGGCTTCAGTGGGCTTGGAGGAGGGGATGGAGCGGGGCTGCACCAAGGATGAGACCCTCCTCATCTGAAGCAGGCCCTCTGACCAGTCACCTCATAAAGGCTCCTGCGAAGTCCAGTCCAGTCCCGCTACTGGGGATAGCGGCCATCCTTGGGTATGAGTTCTCCCTGGTGGGAATCAGGAACACCTCCTTCTTGGCACTGAGTACTTTCCTGACTGAATGAAGGTCCCCCCCAACCTCCCAGAGCAGTGCCAGAGGAGACACGTCCCACACGTATCCTCCCACCTGGCCTGTGGCTTCCCTTCCCCAGCCTGCTCCTTCCTTCGTAGGCCCTCATCGCTGAAACCAGCTCCACACCTCTCACTCCCTGCAGCTCTTCCAGAGCCACCAGTGAGCTGCTGGGCCTGGCCTGGCCTGCCTGCGGGGAGCTAAGGTCCCGCCCCACACAGCAGACGCCATATTTCACTTCCTCTCTCCCCACAGTTGTCTGATTGCTATCCCCATTTTGCAGATGAGAAAGCAAAAGTGAGTTTTCCAAGGAGGCTCACCAAATACTGGCACAAAGAGGACTGAAGCCATTCATTCATTCATTCATTCATTTATATTCTGTAAGTGCCTTCTCCGTGCCATATACTATCCAGGAGCTAGGATACAAGGACAAGAAAAGCAAACACAGTCCCTGTCCTCATGAAGGTCTTTCCTTGCCATCATCCTGCCTCCAAATATGAACATTTAACTCCTGCCTGCTCCCTGCTGAGAAAGCCCTACCTAGAGTTCTTTCTCTGCTCACACTCCTACCCACGCCAGCAACAGAAGAGCATCATCAAAGGGGAATGATTCATTCTGCAGAGGAGTAGGCTGAGGAAGAGTGATTTCTCTTTGGTAGGGCTGACGGCATGGCTGGAATTTTTTTTTTAACCGCCGGACTTTTAAGAGGCATCTGTCCAGGAGCCCCCAGGTAAAGCAGAATAACAATGTGACAGGGATGGCTCTTTTGTTTCTGCCTTCTTCACCTGTCCTCCCATGGTAGTGATGGACACGTGCATAACCTCACAGATGACCCAGCTCTCTTAAGTGTGGTGTGGAGGCTGCAGGGGTAACTGCAGAGTCCCCTCCAACCACTGGCAAGTCCCGAGGCACCCCCGAGGTGAGGAGGCCCGAGAATGAGACAGACAGGGAGGCACAGCGGGAGGGAGGAAAAGATGAGAAAGAGACAAGCAGAGGCAGAGACCAAAAACGAGAGGGAGATGCAAACAGAGAGGAAGCTATATAAAGAGAATGGGTCAGGATGGAGCAGGAAGATCAGGAGAGAACGATCATCGGGGACCAAGAGAAATTCACACTTGGAAGCTGGAGAGAAAAGAGTGAGGGGCAGAGAGACAGAAACAAACAAAAGGAGAGAAACACAAGCATAAGAGGAGAGATGATAAATGAGATGCAGCAAGACTGAAGAATAGAGACAGAGAGAGAGGCAAAGACAGACAGAGAGAAGGAAGGGAGAGACAGACTGAAGGAAGGGAGGCCTCCTCTTTGATGTGTGAAACGTGAAAGGGTGGGTATTTTCTAAGAGGCTCACTTCAGAGAGGAGGCTAGAGATGAGTGTGCAGGGAGGGCGCCAAACCAGCAAAGAATGCTGGAAGTTGGGGCTCGCTGGGAGGCTCTGGATTAATTTCCTATGGCCGCTGTAACAAAGTGCCACACACTTGTGCATGGTTTAAAACAACAGAAATTTAGTCTCTTACAGTTCTGAAGGCTGGAAGCCTGAAATCCATTTCAGTAGGCCAAAGTCAAGGTGTTAACAGGGTCACAGTCCCTTCTGAGGCTCTAGAGGAGGAACCGTTTCTGGCCTCTGCTGGCTTCTGGTGGCTGCCGGCCTTCCTTGACTTGGGACCACATCACTCCAGTCTGCCTCTGCGGCCACATCTCCCTCTGCTTTCCTCTTATAAGGATGCATGTTCCTGCATTTCAGGTCCACCCAGATACTCCAGGATAATTGCCCCCTTCAAGACCCTCAACAGTGACATCTGCAGAGACCTCATATCTATATAAGGTAACGCTTACAGGTTCCAGGGATTAGTATCTGGACATCTTTGGGGGTGACGGCATGCTCCCTGAGTCCACCTGCGTAGCTAAGAGCTGAGGACGAGGATGCTGTGGAGTGTTGGGGGGTAGCGCAGGCCCCGTGCTGGGCGCTCAGCCCACACCGCACACCTGGCCGGCTCTGTCACTCAGAGATGCCCAGCACCCCCCACACAAGCAGCAAGTGGATTTACCAGGATTCTGACCCAAATATGTCTGCCTCTAGAGTCCTTTTTATTTGCATTATTTGCTGCCTCTCAAGGGCAGGAAACACCTGTACTGGACCAAGTGTTGCTTATTTTACCTCTTAAACATGTCACAAATCCGCCCCCTCCTCTCATCCCACCACTGTTCCTTTAGTTCAGACCCTTTTCTCTTCTCTGAACTATTGCTTCTTAGCCTCCTAATTGGTCTCCTTGCCTTCAGGGCCTCCCAGTTTCCTCTGAGAGTGACATTCTTATAATTGCCATCCTCGTCACTTCCTGACTTACACCCCGATGCCTGTTCCCTGTCACCTACGGGGTAAGATCTAAACTCGGAAACCGGGCATTCCTGGTGTTCCATAAGCTAGTCTAAGCCTTGTCCCCTGACACTGTCCCCTGACATATGTCTACTTAAACTGTGAGGTTTGGAATCCGAAAAGCATGGGTTTTAATCTTGGCTCCTACGCTTTTAACTGTGTGACTTTGGGCAACTGCTTATTACCTTTTTCTGAGCCTCCGTTGTCTGCTCTCCGAAGTGGGTGAAGCTAGCTACCTCACAGTACAGCTGTGTGGATTAGAAGTTATATACCCAGAGCACCCAGCACAATGCTGCCACGTGGTAGCTTTTAAAATTATCATTATTATTTATGAACTCATCATTTCCAACAAAGCATGAGCTCTTCAAGGACAAGGGTGTGTCATGTTCAAATTTGTTTTCAGAGTCATTTAACACGTTAGACCTATTAATGGTGGCAGGGAGAAAACAAACCAAAAAACAAGGTAAGGGAAGGAGAAAAAGAAGGACAGAGAGAGAGAGGGAGAGAGAGATGAAGAAACTATTTTTAAAATTCTGTGTTTCCTGGAAGCTCAGGGATAGGACCTTGCAGGTCCACCCATGCTGTGTGCCTGTTTCCTGTCTGTAAAGTTGGCTGGATCTCTGGTTCTAACACTCACTCCCTCTCTGCTCTCCCCTAGGAGAAGTATTTCCCTGGAGCAGGGATATCCTTTCTGGCCACTCAGATGAACACCAGCCTTATCAGGCAGGAGAGTGGTGCCTACCATTCTGCCAGGGTATTTAGAAGAGAAATCAGGTTAGAGGCTGGCTGGGTCAGAACAGATGGAGATCTGACCTGAGTCCATGTGTCTGAATCTGGATGGATGACCTTAGGGGATTTTTGGACTTAAAACATTAGGCAGAGGGGATGATGGTGGGGAAAGGCAGCCTTGAACAAAGGCAGAGGCATGATGTGCATGCGTGCTGAATCCTGGTGACCCCTTCAAAGTCTTTAAGACATTGAGCACAGCTGGAATATCTTCTACAAGATAAAGAAGGAAGCAGGAGAAACACACAAAGGCAAGTTATGAGCGCCTTGTGTAATGTAATGGGCATGAACTCGATGCTGCAGATAACGAGGAGCCGTGGCAGGTCTTAAGGGAGGGAGAATGTTAGATTTGGCTTTGGAACGATCACTCAAGGGGACCTGGGGAGGATGGTTTGGAAGGGATCAGGATTAAGGACAGGGAGGACATTCTGGTCCAGAGAGGTTGATGAGGGCCTGAGATGAGACACAACAGTGGAGTAAGGAGGGAGGAAAGAATTAGAAATATTTGTGAAGTAAAATTGTGGCTTGGGGGTTGAACGCAGGGTGCTGACAGAGATGGCTGGGCTAGGAAGTGTACCAGGGGTAGCATACCAGGTTCCTGTCTTGAAGAACCGGGTGGTAGTGTCCCCAGTGCTCCTGGCAGGGCATCTGAATGTAGCTCCTAGAAGCTGGGGAGCTATGTGCTCCCCAGAGAGGCTTTGATGGCACCCTTCTTAGCAGTAGCTTTACCTAATTTTATTTTGCTGCACAGTCATGGCAAGCAACTCCCATGATTTCCACGTGAAGCTCCACTGTACTGTCTAGCCTTTGTCATTCCCTTGTGCCTCCTCCTCTTTGGGGGACATCTTGGTTTCATGTTGGGCAAAGCGGAAGTGATCCCACTCACAGGCTGGTAACAAGCTGGGCTCAAACTTCCCATAACACTAACTCATCTATCCAGCCTTTAGGAGAGAGTGTATTTTCCCTGGAGCTTTTCTTTTCCAGCCTCGCTCTCCCACACCTCTGTGGGGCCAGCTGGCCTGTCTGTCTGCCTGTCTGCCTCCCTCCCTCCCACAGCACTGCTGAGAATCTGCTCAGTGTCGATATAAAACATGTCTGTTCCACATCTCATCCAGGCCAGCTCTATTTCAGTAAAAATAGGACAATGAGTCATCCTCTATCCCATGCTCTCACGTATCCCTTGGGCAACAGGATTTCTTAAACCAGTTTATGTGTCACTTCGAGCTCCCTCCATGGTGCACGTCTGCCTGAAAGGCTGCCCAGACCCCCTGCCTCGTTGGCTCTAGGTGACTCCTACTCATTCCTCAGCCCTCAGCTCAACTGCCGCTCCCTCAAGACAGCCTTCCCTGACCTCCTGGCCATGTCAGCGCTGCCATCATATACCCCCCAGGCACCCCTTCATGGTCCGCTCCTGTCGGTACCTTTCCCAGTGATGCCTATCTGTCTCCTCTGCTAGACTACCAAGTTCTAGGATTGCAAAGACTGTCTGCTTCGTTCGCCATAATTTCCCTGGTGCCTAGCAGAGTGTATGACACATTAAGTGTTCAATTCATATGTTGCTGCAAATGGTAGGAATCTGAAGGGGAATCTGGCTCCTCCTTTTTTTCCTGAGCCAAGGTTGTCTCAGGACCTTGCTGGGAGGAGAGATGGAGGCCACTTCCTAGTGACTGTTGGAGAATGTGGTTGTGAGGGAGAAATACTGAGCTGCGGGCGGCTGAGAGGAAACATCACAAACTGCAAAAGGTAAAGTGGCCCTGTTCTCCCTCTGTCACCCTAGGGAAGGGAGACAAGTCCAGAGGCATGGACCCTGGAAGAGGGACTGTCTGATGAAGAGAAGAAAGAGGCCTTCAATATCACCAACCTATAGCCTGGATGCAGAGATAAAGAGGTTTTCTGGAGGAAACCATGACCCACTCGTCCTCTGCAGGGGATCCAGGTTCATTTGACAGCTAGTCGGTTACAGCTGGAGGGTGAAGCCAGTTGAGTACCACTGGGCCTCCAAGGACCCCAGCTCCTCTTGAACCATCAGCTCAGAACAGTGCCCCACCCAGGCGGAGCGAGGAACCTTGGGCCTGTGCCTGGAGGGGACAAAAATGAGCATGGCCTGGCACCCACCACACTGTACCCCCCACACCCCTAATCCCCACGGCTCTTCACCTTTCTCTCCCCTGTTAGACTGTGAGCTCCTGGAAGGCAGAGCCCACATCCTCTCCATCCCTGTTTCCCCACAGCCTCATACAGCTCCACCAATGTTTGTGGGAAGAAGTAAATGAATGACTAAATACACCTTAGACAAGTGGTTCACCCCCTAATCCTCTACTTCCTTATCTGTAAAGTAGAAATGACAACAGCTACTAACTAGAGTATAGTGAAGATTGAATGACATCATGAATGTGAGAGCCCCCAATATGGACCTAGCAAAGCAGATGCTCAAAAATCCTTTCTTCTCAGGGGGAAGAGTTCAGTGCAGTGGTAGAGCATGTGCTTGGCATGCACCAGGTCCTGGGTTCAATCCCCAGTACTGCCATTAAAATATAAATAAATAAAAACCTAATTACCCCCACCCAGTTTAAAAAAAATTCATCTGTATCCCCACTTTAAAAAAACGGCATTCTCTCTTTTGCCTTTAACCACACCTCCTGACTTAAGTACTCCCTGAACTTCACATTTTCTAGGCTGAACTTGATAGGCCACCAGTGATTGAAGAATCATAAAATATCTGAGCGGGAGGGTACCAGTGGTGGACATCTGCCTTGTTTGGTTTCCCACTCTTAATCTAGTTCCCTATCACAACACCCATTTTCCCCCATTGAACCCCAAGTCTCAGTCCCTGTGGCTCAGGAGGGGTTGACTGCACCCGGATGCTCAGTGCGGATAGAGTCAACCTTTTCCTGGCAAGCAGAGCACTGAATTCCTTTCGCCACAGTGATTAGTCAGCTATGGCACATGCCCAATGAGATGCAGTTCTGGGACTTGTGAGAGAGGGAATCGCCCTTAGCGCTGAGGGGATGGAACATCCACCAGGAGCTGCTGGCCGCCATTTTGCTTCTGTCAGGAGAGAGTCTGTAGGATAACGGAACCAACGCTCAGGAAGCAGCTTGACACCAAGCCCTGATGACACCATCTGAGTCTTTTGATCCAGGCATGCCTAAAACCAGTATTCCTTTGGACTTTAAAGTTTTGTGAGCTAATGAATCCCCCTTTTTACCTAAGTCAGTTGAATCGGGTTTTCTGTCACTTGCAACCAAAGGAATTCTGACTAATACAAGACCTTGGAGTTTACCTCATTAAACCTCTTAATCTTACAGACAAGGAACAGATTTGCAAAATCACATAGACAGATTTTTACACAATCAATCTTGCAAATAAATATATTGCCTCACTTGCTTTTATCTTTACTGCTGACCAGAACAGGGATATGTTGCCCTTCTGCCTGGATAGGGTCATACAACACTGATTTTGGTCAAAGAATGCCTAATCTTTCTCCAACAGAGAATTTCTTAATTCAGGTCCTCAGGAACCAGTTTTATTTTGCATCACAATGTTTTTCTCCTCCAAGTGGAACTGCTGATGACCGTCCTTTTTCTTCCACACAGTGTAATCAGCAGCAATTAATTCTAATCACAAGGAGACAGCAAGAATGAACAGAGCACTAATTGGACGGAAGTAATCAGAATCTCCCCTAGTCCACAGTGGGAACCTATATGCAGGCAGATATGAGCGGGCACATGCACGCTCACACATGTGCGCTCCTCCCAACCCCCAGTCAGCCGGGGCACAGAGAGAGGCTACGGAGTGAGCATGCTGTCTGATGAGCACACTGTGGTATAAACCAATCAAGGACCTTGGAGCCACAAAGATCCCACCACTAACCAGTCACTTCAACTTGGCCTCCTCATTTGTAAAACGGGGATGCACAGACATACTTCAAAGTGGCTTAGAAGATTAAATAAGAATATTGTACGCCAAGCAGTTTTCACTGGTGTGTGGCAGGTGCTCAGGGAGTGCTAGTTTGCTTTCCTTCCACATCAGACACCTTTTATAGCTGGCAGACAGTAAAGGCCTAACGTGATCTGAAATTTTAGATTCTTAAATGTTCTTGATCCATCTAAACCTCCAGGCTCTCCCTTTAATCTTGTGCCACCGTCCTCCCCCAGTGTACCCCACCACCACACACACACACACACACACACACACACACACACACACACACACACTCTCTCTCTCTCTCTCTCTCTCTCTCTCTCTCTCTCTCTCTCGTCGTCGTAGTCGTAGTCGTCGTCGTACGTCGTCGTCGTCGTCGTCCTTCGTACTCTACGTCCTACCGGTACACCGGAACCAGAA